ATCTACTTTGTTCATCAGTTTATTTTGTTCATTAGGTTCCACATGTGAGTGAGGCCATGTGACACTTGTCTTTCTCCGACGGGCTTATCTCTCTCAGCACCATGCTCTCCAGGTCCCTCCGTGCTGTGGCAATGGTCAGAGATCCTTCTTTTTTCCAGCAGCGTCGTATTCCACAGTAGCCGTACCACAGAGCAACTCCTGAGGCGCGAGGCTTGCCGGCATCCATGCAAAGCAGGTCCCACTGGCCATGAGCGATGCACAATGTGAAGGCTTCCATCCTGAAAGAACTTGCTTTATCCCTAATTATGAAACTGAAGACGTTTATACTCATAAGACAGCTCTGAGCTGCAGCTGTACGTGTGGGAGCTGACGTCCACAGAGAGGACTCGGTGGTCTCTCGGGGTAATTGCTCTTTCCTGAGCTACCGGTCCAGGCTCCTGGAGCCTCCTAAGAGTTAACTTCGAAGGAAGTGGCATTTCCCGGGCGCCCGCGTCTGTGTCCCTGAGAAACACCAAAACCTAGTTCAGGCGTAAGTGCTTGGAACACTCTTCTTCGTGTGAAAAGCACAGCGAGGAGAGAATACCTGTGCGTTTCACACACAGATTGATGGACTGCAACTGTGGCATCTCTCCTCGTGTGAATATGGCAAAAATCATCTTTAGAGGGGGGATTGGAGCTGACCTGGGGCCAGCAAATAGGGGGTTACAGATGCGCTAAGAGATGTTCTTACCAAAATTCCAGCTGGGCCGCCTCGGGGGCCGCACAGGCCACAGGTGAGGGTGGGCCCGGCCCCCGCAGCCCGCACTTCCTGGCAACCTTTCGCCCACATCAATGAGGTAATCTTTCGAAATGACTCTGAAGTGCATCTTTAATGCGTTAAGCACAGCACACCTGCAGTCAATTGGAGGAACGCATACCTCGGGTGCCATCTCAGCTCTCAGAAACCACGCGGCCGGCAATCAATACGGCTGTCATTCGCAGTTGCTAATGTGGGCTCTGGGCCAAGCACATCTGTCTTCGTGGCAAGAGAACCACTCCCCCACCCTCACGCCCCTGCGTTTGCTAGTGCACCCTGTGAGTGCAACAATATATGTATGTATTGTTGATAGTATTACAGATGTCTCCCAACCCCCCCCACCCCCCTCCACCCAGCCCTTACCCACCCACGTCCCACCCCCAGGTCTTTCTGCCCCCCACTGCCCATGTCCATGGGCTGTGCATATCTATATATCTATATCTATATCTATATCTATATCTATATCTATATCTATATATCTATATCTATATCTATATCTATATCTATCTATATCTATATCTATCTATATATCTATATCTATATCTATATCATATATATCTATATCTATATCTATATCTATATCTATATCTATATCTATATCTATATCTATATCTATATCTATATCTATATCTATATCTATATCTATAAAAGGCTAAGCTACCGTCTGACTATCCGACCGGTAGCTGTGACGTGCACTGACCACCAGGGAGCAGATGCTCAACGCAGGAGCTGCTGAGCCGCTGGGACTTGCAGCGGCGGTTCTCGTTCTCCGGTGATACACCCTGGAACCAGAGAGGGGGGAGCCCCATTCCAGGGTGTGTCACCTGAGAATCACCCTCTTGCACTCCAGGACCCCTCAGGGGATGTCGGGGAGCTACTTTAATCCTGATCCCCACAGGCCAGTCCAAGGGACCCCACCTTCCGGAGGGACCTGCTCACTCCACAGACACCCTTCGAGCCACAGTGCCACACCAGGTGCAGCAGCAGGGGAGGGACCGCGGGAGGTTGGCTCCAGGGCGTGTCCGGCCCGTCTTGCCCCATCCCATCACCCCACACCATGCAGAGTCACGAGGACGGGCCACAGGCTGTGGCGGTCCCACACTGCCTGGACGGTGCTGCAGGGCCCGCCGCCCTGGCTCTGTCCCAGGTGGGACAGGCACCCTGTGGTGGGAGCGGGTGCCCTGCCTGTTCTGGGACAGCCCAGGGGCGTCCCGGGCATGGGAGACGGTCTTCCCTCTGTGTGGGTAGAGGCCAGGCTCAGGCCGGCTGGGACCAGGAATGGGGACGATGACGATGTGGAGAAGCCGCCGTGACCTGCGAATGTCACGTGACCAAAATGACCTGGCTACCTGGCACCCAGAGCCCAATGCTGTCCACAGCGACCCAGGGCCCGAGGTCAGGGGGAGGGCGGGTGGGAGGGCTGCCTTGGTGACTGGTCAGGGGCCAGGCACTCCCATAGGTGTGTGGGGAGGCAAGGAGGTGTCAAGTAAGACGTCCTGGTGGCTTCGTGGGCCTCGGCTGCAGCCATGTCACTGGCCCTGGATGTCCCAGCAGCGTGGTCCCACTTGGATCCTGGGGGCTGCAGGGCCTGCGGTCCCGGGTGCCCCAGTGCAGACCCCCAGGCTCAGGCTTCTGACCACAGGTCGATGCTGGTCACAGGAGCAGTGACAGCTGGCGGTGTGAATGGGGACTGAACCCTGAGGGCGTGTTCACTGCCCCCAGGCTGGGGACCAGGAGGGAGGACGCTTGGAGCTTCCTCCATGACGGTCCATGAGACTCCACCGGTGAATGGCAGCCAGGACTCCGCCGGAAGCCAGAGCTGACGCTGGGCTGCAGCTGGCGGAGGGCAGCAGCCTGGATGGTGTCCATGCTCGCGATCGATGACGGCTCTGCCCCGCAGGCTCCCAGGACGCCTGGGACTTCAGGCACCGTCTGTGCACCAGCACGGACGGCTTCCTCGCTGGGTCTACGGAATCCCTTTTGCTACAGCTCTCCATCCTCGGGCCTGTGCGGCCCCAAACCGGGAACTTAGCACAGTAAGTCCTCAGAGCATCTGGTGCTCGGCGTGTGGTAACGCGTCTCAGGGCCCAGGACCTGGGAGTGATCTGGAACGGATCCAGGTATTTGCACGGAGGGGTGGGCGTCGTCAGACGCTGCCAATGAGGCAGGGCCAGCGATGGAGCCGTCATAGCCTAGATCAGTGCCACATGCTGGGTGCTCGGGCTGCTTGGCCGCCGCGGCTTTAAAGCGATGTGACAGAGGGAGTGGGTCTGCTTTCTTTTGAGTGAGGAGCTCGCCCATCAGAGGCTGATGTCACGACTCCATGCTCCTCTCGGTGGGGCCGGGGGGCCAGGGGGCCAGGCAGGAGACGGACTCCAGATGCAACGGCTGCTGCTGCATTCTCTGTGAGGCTATATCCCTCACCTGTTACCTGGGGGCTGCATCCCTCACCTGGTACCCGGGGGGCCGCATCCCTCACCTGGTACCCGGGGGGCCGCATCCCGCACCTGGTACCCGGGGGGCCGCATCCCTCACCTGGTACCCGGGGGGCCGCATCCCGCACCTGGTACCCGGGGGGCCGCATCCCGCACCTGGTACCCGGGGGGCCGCATCCCGCACCTGGTACCCGGGGGGCCGCATCCCGCACCTGGTACCCGGGGGGCCGCATCCCGCACCTGGTACCCGGGGGGCCGCATCCCGCACCTGGTACCCGGGGGGCCGCATCCCGCACCTGGTACCCGGGGGGCCGCATCCCGCACCTGGTACCCGGGGGGCTGCATCCCGCACCTGGTACCTGGAGGTGAGCCCATGTTCTCAGGGGAAGACACTCGCCTGCTTATCCGAGTGGCCCTTTGCCATGGGAGACCCTGGCCTCACCCCACACCTGCCCCAGCAAAGGACCTGCATTTAGCACGAGCTGAAAATTAGAGTTGCAATAATCAACGTTAATGTGAAGTCAATGAAATCGCATGTGTCTCTCCCACCCCGAGGCCCGTGGGGCCGTCCAGGGCTTGCACTCGGGACTCACACGGGAGCGAGGGGGCGGGGGACAGGTTGGGGGGAGGGGGAGCCGCCCGTGGACCTGCACCCCCTCCGGCCTTGCAGCCGTGTCTCCCCAGCTCTGGGTTGTGAGATGGCTTTTCTACAAGTGGAAGGAAAGGCTTTGCAGGCCTTACAGGGATTTCATGCAAAATGATAACGTCACGTCCCTGGGACCACGCGGCTCCTGGACAGCAGAGCCTTGGGGAGGAGGGGCCGCTGGTCTGTGACCCGGGCCGTCACAGGGCAGGTCCAGCCCTCTTCCCAGAGGGGCGGCCACTGGGCGGGGAGGCAGGCGGGGCCCTCGGACAGCAGGGCCTCCTCAGCGTGGAGATGCTGCCAGGAAGGGTCTGAAGCCAGTGAAAACCAAACCAGCTGGACGTGCACGTGGCTGGAAACTGCAGTTTGGGCGCCACCTACCGTCCACTTCCTGGAAACTGGGGTTTTCTTAGCGGGGATATTGGGACACAAAGACCCCCACCAGCCTTCACCTTATTTTTTGAAGTTGAATCTTGGGAAAATCCCAAGTGACAGCAGCTTTTTTCTTTAGCTTTGCCCATTACGCAGCTCACTGGTCGCTGTCGTGAAAACCCAGTCTGGCCCGAGCCTGAGGTGGGTGGGTCTGTGCCTGAGGACGGGATTCCTACAACAGACGTCTGTTTCTTTCATTTGCTGGAGCCGCAGAAACAGCCCGTGTTCTGGGGCCCTCTCCTCTAACTCCTGCTGCTACGAGAACAGATGGCGATGGAGCCAGGACGCCCTCCTCTGATCGCAGTTACAAGCAGCACAGGGCCCGCCACCTCCCTGCCTACTGTTCTGCTTCCTGTTGGAGCCAGTAGACAGGAATCACGGGACGGAGAGGGCAGGACCCTTGGCAGCCATTCTCTCACCTGGCTCCCCTCGCCCCTGATGAAACCCTGGGACCAGGAAAGGCCCGAAGTCCCAGGAATCTTAGTCCCCCCGCTCGGGGCAGAGATTCCAGGGAGTGAGCATCTCTCCTGGTCCCTGGTCACCAGCCCAACTCCAGCCAATCATCAGCTTCACTTCAAAGGCAAGTGCAGTGTGGATGGAGGCTGAATGTTATGCTAAAAGAAATTAAAGACAAAATTCCACAAATGTCTACTAAATATATTCCAAAGTTGTGAATCTTCATATTACATGCCAAGTATAAACTGAGTTCTTTTTTAAAATGTATCTTTATTGATTTCAGAGAGGGAGGGAATCATTGATGGGCTGCCTCCTGCACGCCCCCCACTAGGGATTGAGCCGGAGACCCAGGCCTGTGCCCTGACAGGGAATCAAACCGTAAAGGAGCAGCAAAGGAGCCCCGTTCTGCTTCGTCCCAGGACAGAGCCCGTTCCCAGGGCCCGGCCTCGCGGGAAGGGTCCAGGATGCTGAGACGTAGCGTCCGGTCAGGACCTCGCTCCCAGGGTCCCGTTCAAGGTCCCCGTTTCTGCCTCGGCACTGCTGTCATTGGGGTAAGGCCATCTGGGGGCTGATGGAGGACGCCCACCCTGCCGGTGACCACTCAGTGTCACACGCCTGGGGCCAACCGCGCTGGGAGCGAACCAGGGGACCTGCGAAAGCGGTGACACGTGACAGTGCCCAGGCGTGTGCATCAGCCTGACCGTTTTGTATGGAGTTAACACCAATCACCGCCACGCTGGGAACTGCTTAGCTCAGTGCTATCTGTTCAGTGTAACTGGAGGCTCGTCCAGGACACAGCCCGCGGGTGTTTGTTTTGAACACACGGGAGAGTGTTCTACAGCGTGGGTGGCTGCTGTGTTGGTTTTTTATTTCAAATCCGCTAGTTTGTGACGTGAGTGACACTGTTCTGAAGGGGCACCTGCTGTCAATAATCACCCAGGCGCTCAGCGGCTGACGGCACTGCGGGGGCCTTATCCCCCCGGAGTGTGTGGAGAGGGGCTGAGACGTGTGGACACTTAGCTTCATACCAGGGGCTTATGAGGACCCGAGTGTCCGGTCTGTGCGGGGCCACTGTGCTGACCTCCAAGGCCCCGAAGACCCCGGGGCCTCAGCTGTGGCCGTGGCCTCGCTACTCTCTGCCGGTGGAGAAAGCCGGGCAGCGGCCTGTGAAGAACCCCTGGCCCACCAATGCCGGTGCCTTCGTCCCACCAGCATTGCACTGTAGCGACAGGGACTTTCAACTCGTGCTGCGGCTGGACCAGCTCCCAGCTGGCTACGTGACTCCTCCGAGAGCCGGCTCCACAAAGGCCCAGCTCCGTCCACCACCCGGGGCTTCGTGCCGGGGCCTCGTGACCACCTGGCACTGCGTGTCCGGTCACCGGCGACCGAGGTAACAGCCTGGACGCTGTGACTTGTGGGGGATGATTATTACACGTCGTAACTCCTGCAGGAACCCAGGTCACATAACCGACCGCAGAGCCAACCTGAGCATAATTAGCTGCAGACAAAGTAGTGTCGCGGTGAAAGCCATCTTTACAAACGACGGTGGCTGCTGGGACGGGCCGGCCACGCCAGCACTTAGTTCTCAAGACGGCGACGGGACAGCTCCAGGAACGCCGCGGCCGCTGCACCTCTACTCCTCCTTCCTCCTCTTCCTCCGCTCCTTCACCTGCTGCTGCAGGGCCTTGAGGTCGGCCATCACAGTCAGCGTCTTCCGGACCCACATGATCTGAAAGCGGGAGTTTGGAGAGCGTTCACACTGGGGACACGTACAGAGGGAAAGCGAGGGCGCAGCAGGCGTAAGTACGCACCACAATGATCATGGCGTTGAGGAGCAGCGGCGCCGAAAACACCAGGGAAATGAACATCCCCCTCGAGTCGAAATACTGGTATTTCGAAAACGACCTGTTTCAAGAAAAATTTAAAATCACTTGGCATAGCGCAACCGTTTTAAATGACGTGCTCTACTTAGCGTGAGGCTGCTGGAGGTCTCCGTCACGAAGGCAGAACCCTCCCCCGATGATGGCCCTCGGGTCCTACACGGCCAGACCCTGGCGTCCGGAGGCGGAGCTGAGGCCCCGGCACTGGACGTGGTCCCGGGAGGGGAGAGGCTGCAGCGTGCTCTCCACTCGGCCCACGCGCACCAACCCCATCAGGCCACTTCCTTACTCTGCCGCTAACATCAGTGTCAACAGCCCCTGACCTCTCTCTCCCTCGAGGTCATGGCCAGCATCACCCAGTTTGCAGCTGGCACTGCCAGGAGGAATGTGTAAGGAGCGCGCCCCAGCCTAAACCTGTCCGAGCGGAGGCTGCTGTGCTGCATGCAGGTGCTCGTTCCAAAAGGCAGAAGCCGGACAGCGACCTGCCCCGACCGGGCTCACCTCCAGTTCATGGCGGCCACTTCATTGATGTACTCGGCAGAATAGACCAAGGTTACTGCAAGAGAAACCGTGTTAGAACCTGCGTGACTGACCATTGGTCATTGTGGAAACATCCTCTACAGATGCATGCTCAGTGTAAACACAAGACAGCAAGAGTTTGAGGAGAAGTGGAATTTCTCCTTTAGATATAACGTCAGGTAACAATTATAAAACTGTGAAACGTCAGGACACACCCTTTAACGGAAAGGAAACCAGGTCCACACACGTCAGTCTCCACGTCTCAGTGAAACCATGCACAGCGGTTCAGCAACACTCAGTCTTCTGCCCGAAAACCAAGAGCCACCGCGCTGGCTATTTGCCCCGTCTCCTCATGCCCCAGGCACAGGTCAGGCCAACGGGACGCTGGGCAGCAGGGCCTAGAGCCGCGGAGCCCGGACCTCGCGATTCCGCCAACAGGGGCCGCCTGTGAGCAGCAGCATTGGGGGCCAAGCCAGGGCAGCAGGGGCCCCAGCCGCAGGGACGCTGATTTGTGCACGTGTCCTTCCCAGTTCGCACCCTCCCTGCCAGGGCGAGCAGCCCGGCGCTCGCCCACGGGGAAGCTTGTCAAGAATCAGCATCTCACTAACCCTGACTCGTCTTGTGCAACTGGTCCCGACCCCTCCCTGGTAAGGCAGGTGCTCAGTAGATTCCTTTCAAATACAATAGCCACAAATTCACGTCACCTCTGGAATTCCCGAGAGAGAAATCCGGGCGAGCCCTGAGACTAAGAGTAGAGCCTCAGACAGAAGGGCTGGGCCCCGGGAACACGCTACATGCTGAGAACACGCTACATGCTGAGAACACGCAAGATGCAACACGCAGCTCTGTCCATTCCACTCACCGAGGCACAGGAAGTGCCCGACCTGCAGTTCGTATCGCCGGGAGGACACACAGGTGAGCAGCAGGCAGAGCGCGTGGAAGACGACCAGGCCGAGGAGCCAGGGCTCCGTCCAGTCTATCTGCTGTGGACACACCATTGGACACTCGTCAACATCAACTCCCTCGGGGCCAGGCCTCAGTCTCCAGGGTCAGTGGGGAGTCAGTGACCCCTCACTCCTGAGGACTTACTTCTGGGGCTACTGCGCAAGGCGTCCAGAGGCCCCCGACCCCGGGCCTCACAGAAGAGGGGGAGGGTGCGGGAAGGGAAGGAGGGAACCGGGACCCCTCCGTGGCTACCATGGCCCCAGGGTCCGGAGAGGAATTCAGGGTCTAATGCTGGAGCACAGAGGGGTGGCCTCCTGGCCGGCCCTGGGGTTTGTGGAGCTGTCACACTGTGAGACGAGTGGACCCTAAGGGTCACTGTCCCAGGAGGGAGGAGGAAGTTAGTGGCTTGTTCAGGAGATGCACTTGGTTACTCTCCCTCAAGACCCCTATTTCAAGCCCCTAACCCAGGATTAAGGCCTTGAGAAATCCGAGCCATCCCTACGGCAAGACTTGCTTTTCCTTTCGCCCTGCCCCAGCCTGCAAACAGTGCTGCGAGCCCAGGTCTGCGCAACTCCACGCTGGCCAGGTCCTCACCCCACGGCCCGATGCCCCCCTGTGCTCGGATCCACGCCCTGCCCCGACCCGGCTGCAGACCAGCCCCCCCCCCGCCCCCCGGCCCCCCCCCCACCCCGGACTGAGCCCGAAGCCTTCAGGCCCAGTGCGGCCGCCCTCCCGCACGCCGGGCCGGCAGGACCATGCAGCCGGGCAGGTAAGCTGGCCGCAAGCTACGTCCACCCACTCGCGTCCGAAGGTCCAGAGCGAGGGACACCAGGAGTGCGGGCGGGCACCACACTTCCGGGAGGCAGGGCAGGGGGAGAGCAGCTCCGCGCCCCTCCGCCCACGCCCCTCCCCTCCCACAAGCCCCGCCCTCACGGCTCAGGCCCCGCCCCTCCCACAAGCCCCGCCCTCATTGCTCAGGCCCCGCCCCGGACGCTCCACCAACACCGTCCCCCACACGCTCAGGCCCCGCCCCCAACGCCATGGCGGACGTTGGGAAGTTCGGGCAGCTCCGACCGCCGGCACCGAACTGGCCAAGTTACCGTGATGACGGCGGGAATGCTGTCGGGGAAGGAGGTGACTGAGAAGGCGGACGGCATCGTGCCCAAAGCACCCGCCCTCGCCGCCGCCGTCAGGCTGAGCCCGCCCGACTACCCGCAGGTGTGCCTCTCGCGTCGCCCCTCCCGGGGTCTCGTGTGTCGCGAGACCCGAAGGGGGCGGGCGTCCCCTGTGAACGCGGTCCGAGCGCACATCTCGCGGTATCTCGTGGCGGTGACGTGAGCACAGGGGTGCCGCTGGGCCCGCGGAGCGTCGCCGTCGGTCCCGGGCGCCCTCCCAGCAGGACGCCGGGCGGGGCGCCGGGCAGCGCGCAGAGCCGGTCCGAGTCGCGGTGCCGCCAGGGCGGGGGCTGCGGTTCCCGGCGGCCTTCCCCGGGCGGAGCGCGGCGCCGCTGCCAGAGGCGGCCTGTGCTGGCCTGACGGTGCCTCCGTCCCGGTCTGTGCGCGCGGCCCGTCCTCCCTCCCACCGAGCGCAGCGCTCGGAGCCGCGGGCCGCCCGGGTGCCCGGTGTGGCGTCCAGGGCCTGCGAGTTCATGGTCTTTTCCTGGGAGAAACGGAGGGGGCCGGGCTGCCCGCTCCGGCCCGGCCTCCAGCCGCCGCTCCCGCCCACACGCGGACATGCGGGTCCCCGGGTCCGACAGCCAGGCCCCGCGGTCCCCTCGTTGGACTTTACGGCGGCGTAGGGCGGGCGCGTGCTCGTGCTCGCGGGCGGAGGGAGCGCCGGGTTCGCTCTCCGGCCTCCCGTTTGGGGTGTAGGGTTCCGTCGGGTTCCTGCCCCGCCCGCGGCCTTCTCCGCCCTTTGGCTCTATCGTCACGGCCGCCCCTTTGAGCTCAGTGTCCTCCTAATTTTCGATAATAGGTTTTCCCGTTTCCCAAAGTCAGGCACAGTGTTCCCTGCACCTGAGTGGAAAGATCCGGAAAGATCCAAGTGCCCCCGCACGTGCAGTGCAGACTGTTTCCCGCAAAGCTGACCCTTGTTCTCTTCCGACTTCCGCCCGGGAGGTGACTGACCCTCAGCGGCGCCCCCGGTCCCTGGAGAGGCGCTCAGGCCCGGGATTGGGGGGGTCGGGGCGTCCACAGGCTCACCGCTGAGCCGCAGTTTAACGGGGTCACCAGCAGGTGGCAGCACGAGGCCGGTCCCAGGTCCCGCACTGTGGGAACCGGAACACCTTTTCCATGATGTTTGCAACAGAATGAGTTTTCATATATTCGTACCTGTTGAACTGAGAGGTTTTAGTCAACACCATTGGATTTTAGGTGAGAAAATTGTATACCATGTAATAGCTAAATGTGTTATTTTGGGGGTTCTTTATTAGATTGCCTTTAAAAAGTTACTTTAAAATGTGTTTGTGAAAAATCCATAATCATGGATAATAAAAGCTTTAGAGATAAAACCCAACAATTTAATACCTCATTTCCACTTTATTTTTTCAATATTCTATCAGTGCAGCCCTAGCTGGTGTGGCTCAGTGGATAGAGTGTTGGTCTGTGGACTGAAGGGTCCCGGGTTGGATTCAGGTCAAGGGCACAGGCCTGGATTGCAGGCTTGATCCCCAGTAGGGGGCGTGCAGGAGGCAGCCGATGCATGATTCTCTCTCATCATTGATGTTCCTCCCTCCCTCCCTCCCTTCCTCCCTGAAATCAGTAAAAACACATTCTGTCAGTGCTTCTCTACCCTTGTGCTCACAGAGGAGTTTGTGACTGCATGGCCACACTGCGCTGTGCCGATTTGGTGGGATTTACGTTCTGCCTGTCTGATCTGAGCCTCTCCAGGGCATTAGTCATGTGTTATCTGTGGAGACGATTGCAGTGTGAATGAACTGATGAGCCTGTCTGACAGCTCATTTAGTAACTAGTGATGAAAATGTTGTGGGGTGTTGTCTATCCTATATAAGAGCCTGATATGCAAATTGTCCCCTCGACTGGGAGTTCGACCGCTCGCTATGAGGTGCGCTGACCACCAGGGGGTGGCGTGGAACATGGTGGGCGTCGGCGATGCAGGGCTAGCAGTGCCGGTGCTGCCAGTCCTGATGGGCCGCGATGAGAGCGGAACTGCGGCGGGATGGTGGAGCAGATGGGTAGGCAGCGCCAGGCCAAGGCAGATGTGAGGGGGGCCCAATCGCCCCACCGATTGCCCCGCAGACAGCGATCAGTGGCAGTGGCGGCAGGGGGCCCGGCCCCGACCGCCCCGACCGATCGCCCCACAGGCGGGATGGTGGAGCAGGTGAAGGGGCAGCGCCAGGCCATGGTGGGGTGCCAGATGGGCTGCGGGGCTGTGAGGCTGGGGGCATGAGCTGGGGCCTGATCCCTGTAGGCCACCCTGAGGGACCCCACTCGTGCATGAATTCATGCATTGGACCTCTAGTCTGTATATATAAAAGCCTGAACGACCGGTCACTATGACACACATTGACCACCAGGGGGCAGACGCTCAAGGCAGGAGCTGCTCTCTGGTGGCCAGTGCGCCCCCACATCAGGAGCGCTGCTCAGCTGACCCACGGGCGCCAGATGCAGGGTGGTGGCGCAGGCCTCTCCCAATCGGGACTGACTGGGCATGAGCCCGCAGCAGGCGCAGTGGAGCCAGGATGAGCAGGAGGGCAGGCGGCGTTGGACTGCCGGTTTTGGCCCAATCCCCGCAGGCCACGCTGAGGGACCCCACCAGTGTATGAATCCATGCACCAGGCCTCTAGTATTTGTATAGAGACCCCAAGGACAACACATAATCAACTGCTGTGACTGCAAAACTTTCTGTTTCTAGACAAAGACCTTTCATGCAAAAGGAGAAAGAAGAATTTGGGGAAACAAGTGTAGTCCCTGTCTTCTTCGGGGACATTGAATCAGTAACAATATGTTATCAATGGAGGAGGTGAGCACAGGTGCTGAGGACAGAGTTTCCAGCACGTGTTTGGAAGGCGGCTCTGGGAAAACGGATTTTAGATGAGAGAAAACTGGATTTGAACATGAACGATTTCCCTCACAGCAGCGTGGCCTGGGGTTGGTTATTATTTTTTAATTGCCCAAGTCTTAGTTTATTGTGTGTAAAAGTGGCTAATAATGCCTTTCTGATGGGTGGTTTCTAGGATTTGTGATAATATGCCCTAAAGGCCGTGCATTGTGCCGAGTGAATGCTTTTGCTTAATAAGTGATAACTGTTACTGCTTCTATAATGTCCCAACCCATCTCTCCCCGGCCCTCTTCTTTTTAATGCACAGACAACATTCCTTCTGCTTCCCACTCATCCTGCTCAGGTAGAAGTGTGCGTCAGCCATGGACAACCACACAACACAGCACTGGTATTTCACTCTGGGAGGTGTCATAGCCCGCCTTTCTGCACTGCATTGCGCGTTGAATATTGCATCTTGAAAAGGTTTAAAGGCCAGAAACATTTTGTCTGAGGATCTGCAGCTGGTTCAGGCCCAGTCAGTGTGGCTGTGCAGCTCCAATTACTTTGCCTAGTGTGGGTGTTTCTGCTCTATTAAAGCAACCAGCTGCTGACACAAGTCTTCTCTGACTGGAGATTGCGTTTGCCTAATAAATAGGTCTTTTTACGGAAGATGTAAATTTCTTGATTTTTTAACTTGCCAGGTTCAGGTTTCTCTTTCTGTAAAGGAGACAGACACACACAGGACACGGTTCTGTCTGTGGAAACCGTCTTCGTTCACAGAGGCCCGAGGAAAGCATCCAGACACCCCCGCGAGGGGTGTGGCGTGGTGAGGGCAGAAGGCTGGCCCTGGGTGCGCAGTGTCTCATCGCTGTCCCTCCGTAGAAGAAGGCCAGCCTCCTCTTCATCAAGTATGTTCCTATTGTGTTTCTCTCCTGCGATTTCTTTCACTACAAGCTGTTTAATGTAACTTCATAATTACCTTTACCAAGATTGTCTAACACTGAACAGCATAGGCATGAGGTTAAGAAATTCTCTTGATTTAAGAATTACTCTGTCCAGTAGAACTTATGAGAGCCTATACTTTATTTCCTTCATCCTGTCTATTTAGACCAACGTCAGTTTCATCCTTTTAAGGGTGTAGCCATCCTAACAATATCTCCGCAGCCACGAGGAGCATTTGTTTTTAAAAGAGGCTGCAGCGAACTGTTCCGCGGGAGCTTGACCTGCAGCAGTCGCTTCACGCTGCTCTCCGTCCTTGCCCAGGACGAGCACACCCTGCACAGGCACCTCTGTTTATATTACGGAATCTGCACTTTCTTCTCTCTAATCTATTGTGTAATGGAATTCCAGTTACTTATACAGTAGTAGAATTTCTTATTTTGTTTCACTTACACACTTGCTTTTCACTGAGGTGTGTGTGGCTAATTTTAAACTCCCTCGGGCGTAAAATCAGAGGCAGTTCGGAATGTGGACAGGGCTAGAACTGGATCTTTCCTCTGGCCAGGCCCACTTTTCTAATACGTTTCTATTTTCTGCCTTGGAAATCTATCACAAAGAATATCCAGCATTTTATAAGAAGTCTTTTTTACTTGCCATCTTCTACCGCCAGAGAGACGTGGAGAGGGGTTGTCTGGGGCACTTGGGCTCCCGTTGGCCTGAGCGGGAGCACCTGGTCCCCAGCTCCTCCCGAAGCTGCACACTGGCCTCTCTAGCCGGTGAGGGCGGTTCAAGGCTGGAGAACAGTGACTGTGTCTGCAATGACGTGACTCACAGACCGGCGCTGGCCAGGCTCTGCGACAAGGAGCCGTGGCGAAGGGTGTGCACAGGGGAGTGCACAGGATTGCAGATAGGACTCATCTGTTTGGCAGTGCCATCCTAGGAGGAACAGTAGATGCAGGAAACCACGGACACATCTGTGTAAATCCTGGACCCATGTCATGATCTCTGTAGAGAGCAGCACATGAGCAGGAGGAAGTGGTGGCACAACAGGTGCCCTGCATGCTGCCCATCACTGACAGGTGGCTCCATCGGCTGACAGGCAGCTGTGCATGGAAGGAAGGGCTGCAGAGCAGCTCCAGGTGCCTGGGGAGGTCTGCTCCTGTCCTGCCGAGGTCCTCACCCACATCGCTGTCCCCGGAGGCTTTTCCTAACCAGAGGGCATGCAGAGCTGAGGAGGACTTCCACTGCTCACTGCAGACAAAACACCTGGGAACCTGCGTAAAACACAGTGCGGAAGCCAAAACTGACAGATACCAGAGAACGGAAAGGCAGTGAGGAAGGTCCCCCAAAGAAGGGAAAATGGAGCAGGACAGATGGGGGCTGCTCTTCCTTTCGTGAGTTTGATCACGTACCAGGAGAAGCTGAGTGAAACGTAGTCAAAGTGGTTGAGAAATTCTGAAAATAATTTTTAAATCTTCAGAACCTGAAGGGACACAAATTTGAACTCAGGACCCACTAATGAAGGGTACCTGATGCGCCCCAGACGTCAGGTGACCAGGAAGGAGAGCAGGTCGCATGCAAAGACGGCAGCACTGTAGACCAACCTCAGCCCATGACCCGCCTCTGACCAGCCACCCGCCGGTCACAAGTGACTCCTCTTTGGGGAAAGACGATGCCACCCAGAGTCCCAAATTTTCTCTAACATTATTTATATAGCCTAGAGGCCTAGCGCACGAAATGTGTGCACTGGCAGGGTCCCTAGTGACTGCCAGGTACTTCCTCCTCCCCCGCCTCCCTCACCCCCCGGCCGGCCCCACGCCCTGGTTGAACTCCCGGACAACTCCCAGTTAAGGGGACAGTTTGCATACTACTCTTTTATTATATAGGATTGTATGTTTCTCAGATGTTTGCTAACACACAGGAGACAACATTCATGGCTTAAAAACAAATTTAACCAAGACTGCAATCAAATGGCAGGAGCTTTGGATGCTGGTTACCAGACACTGATTTAGAAAAAATAAAATACTTCCAAGAGATTAGTTGACAAGATGGAGAATTTTAACTGCAGAGAATAAAATTTGGAAATTCTGGTGAAAACAATTTCTAAAATTAAGAACCTGCAGGCTCTTACAGGTGAGTTGAAGGGAGCATTTGGTGACAGGTGAGATTTGTGCACTGGCAGTTAAATCAGAAGAAAACTTTCAGTCTCAACACATTGGTCAAGAAGAATATGAAAGATGAAAGGGTGATAAAGTAATATAATAAAGCATGGAAGAACAAACTGTGTTTGGAGTCTGAGAGAGAAAAGGGGAAAAAGGCCAAGTCATACTTAAAGAAAATATACCAATTTTTCAAAACAATATATCCTACCAAGTCAAAGATTCAGATGAGCAATAAAACCTGGGGAGCATAAATAAAGAAAAAACTAATCTCAGGTGCACTACAGCACAGGAATGAAAAGAGAAGTAAGCTATTTATAGCGGGAAGTGCAACAGGTCATTTTTAAGGCACATTTCACAGAATCGAGACACTACTTTCCCAGCTGTAATCTCAGAATCAAGGACCATGGAATCACATTTGTAAAGTGCTGAGAGAAATAGCTACTGACCTTGAACTCCACCCTCTGGAAATCTCCTGGGACTTACGAAGAAAGAACAAGGCCAGCCCAGTTGGTTTTGCTCAGTGGATGGAGTGTCAGCCTGCCAACTGAAGGGTCCCGGGTTTGATTCCTGGGTCACAGGCACATGCCCAAGTTGCGGACTTGATCCCCAGTATGGGGTGTGCAGGAGGCAGCCGATCAGTGATTCTCTTTCATCATTGGTGTTTCTGTCTTTCCCTCTCCCTTCCTCTCGGAAATCAATAAAAATATGTGTACGTGTGTGTGTGTTTGTGTGTATATATATGGCTTTTAAAAAAGAACAAGCCCATTATAGACAGACAAAAAGTGAGAGAATATCATAATCAGGCTTTAATGAAAAGAAATAAAAATGACCTTTAAGCAGACCCCACATGAAACACATATTGGAAGAAATAAAAGCTATGGAGGTAGGTAATTGTGTTAAAATTAACTGACATTTAGCCCTAACCAATACGGCTCAGTGGATAGAGTGTTGGCCCTCAGACTGAAGGGTCCCAGGTTCTATTGTAGTCAAGGGCATGTAGCTTAGTTGCAGGCTTGATCCCCAGTAGGGGCATGCAGGAGGCAGCTGATCGATGTTTCTCTGTCATTGGTGTTTCTCTCGCTCTCCCTCTTTCTTCCTCTCTCTAAAGTCAATAAAAATATATTTAAAAAATAACTGACATTCAAGTCTATAAGACAATGAATAATATTTTATGGAATTTAATCACATGAGCTATCAAAGGTTTCCATTCCATTAGAGAGTTTTTGATTTAAGCAGTTCCTTCCTTTTCTTTCTTAGTTTCCATCTCTGCTTATATCACTGATCTGTTCTTGAATGTTGCCCTTTTTATGAGAGCCCTCAATATACTCATCTCAGTTATTTCAAATACCCTATTTGCTATTTCCCAAACCTGTGCTGTCTGAGCCTGGTTCTGAGCTGTGGGTTGTCCCTCAGCTCCTGCCTGTCCTGTATCAGTAGCTGTGTGTGAACCGGTGGAATTTAATCAAGTTTGAGCATAAGAATCCGCCCCTTTACGAGAGCAACCTGGGAGTCCCCTGGTGGCCTCACCACCTCACCTGTGCCCACTGGGACAGGAAACGTAATAATTGGCTTTAGTTTACACCGTGTTTTGTGGCCTTGTCTTTTTATTACTTTGTGTTTCCCTGAAAAGTTCCTTATAATTTGTAAGATGCCACATTCGAGGTCAGTCAAACTGACTGGGTTTATGTCAGCGTGCTTTGACTCCAGGTCTCTTTATAGATGCTTTCCTTTGCATGTTCGGGAAGCTGTACTCTGTCTCTGCCTTAATTCCAAGGACAGCCCGGAATTTAGTTCAAAAACACCAAAACTCCCGTCGTGAGTTTGTTTTCTGAGTTCTCTTCCAGGGCAGCCACTGAATTCTTTCCTCTTCCTGAAGTCCTGGATCCCACCCAAACCTATGTTTTAAAGGGCTCATGGGTCTTCTTTTTCTTTTTTTTAATGTATTTTAATTGTCTTTTTACAGAGAGGAATAGAGAGTTAGAAACATCGATGAGAGAGAAACATCGATCAGCTCCCTCCTGCACACCCCCTGCTGGGAATGTGCCCGCAACCAAGGTACATGCCCTTGGCCGGAATCGAACCTGGGACCCTTCAGTCCGCAGGCCGCCGCTCTATCCACTGAGCCAAACCAGCCAGGTCAGGGTGGGCTTGTGGGTTTTCATAGAGAAGCTGAGAAGTGTAAAATTTAACCCATTGTACGCCATGAGTGTCTGAAGACGCAAGCGACGGACCTTCCCCACATGCCATGTGCATCTATTAAAAAAGAAAACTGTTTTCCCTAAGTGGCAGCGCTGACCAACTTTAAAGTCATTTTTCATGAGAATTTTCAGCTGAAAATATTCAAGAACACCCGAATTGTAATATATTTATTTTCATAATATTCATTGCAAATTGATTTTTTAATTAAATTCAAAATATCGTGGCATGCGGGGATGGTTTCCGTTTTGGACGTGTGGTAGTTAACTGGTTAACAGAAGTTAGGGTATCCATTGGTTTGCTAAGTGTGAGCTAAAGTCGGACTTTAAGGAGCATGAGACCCTGAGGTTTGGACGCAGGCTTACATGGATG